ACGTATTGTCGTCAGTTGGAATACCTGATTATGCCGGTAAGGTACTACACGTTTCACAGCACACACGGCGCAAATATCAACAAGATCATGGCAACGCTTTACAGTGCTTTGGAGAGATGGTATTCGACTGGAGGTCTACGACAACTTACACTTCCTACGTGGAATGGGGTGAGCTCTTACGCTGCAAGTACTCGATACATTGAGAGTGTGACGAGGTTCTGTCTTAGAATTGAGTACCTTGACGGATATAAACAAGCGCGTTCGAAATCATGCGTGCATTGTCCAGAGATGTGGACAATCTCACTGGACACGTGGAGAGCTTTCAATGCCACCTGCACCAATTTGCGGAGCTTTCACTGGTTTGTTGTGTCATTTGCTGACCCGTTTTTCAGTGTATTTGGCGACTATATCAAGCCAAATTTGACATCGCTGTCGCTTTTTGCGAACCTTAACTGGACATACGATCGATATATACGTGACTGCAGTGAACAGACCTCTGACGATATAATACGAGATGAAACTATTCCAATGGGCTACGGTGTCTTGGCTACCGAAGCTCGAGCCGTATTCAAGGCATGTCCTGCTCTAACGAGTTTTTTTATTAAAATCGACTGCGTCCGGAACAACAGACCAGAAAGCCACTACGTGAACTCAGCTATATACGGAGACGAGCTCTGGGAGACAGCGGCGATGCTCTGTCCACTTCTAACATCGATCGAGATGGTTGACGCTTCCCAATACCCGAGCCTCAATTCTCAGTCTATCAACGGCCTCTCCGACCGCACACTGATAGCCCTTGCGCAACTTAAGTACCTCACGTCAGTAGAGTTTTGTATCGCACGTCTGACAGGCACAGGTATCTTCGACTGGTTATGCCGTGTGGCGAAATTTGACGGTTATGTTGGGCCTGAACGTAGGCTTCGAGTCACAATTGGCGGTCTTCAGCACGCTGAATTCTGCAAGGACTTGCCGGATTTCTATGGAGAAATTGTGGTGCTTTTGAGTCTTCTTTCGGAGGTCAGTGAGGAAGGTCTTGGAGCAGCTTCGTGCCAGACAAAACCTCTCCTTGAGGTTGTGAATCCGTACGAGTCCGTGGTATCCTGCCAGTGGAGCAAAATTTATATGGTTGAAAAACTCAGACCACTGATTGAGGCAGTAAGGGCGAAACACCCTTCGCTACAAGTAAGCGTATCACTGTTCGGACAGAAATCATGCCAATTCAGCCGGATCGGCAAGCTAACGTTGGACTGGCAATCGCATAAAAAAGGAGAAGCTCATTGACTGCCTAGAAAAGCAGCCCACTTGTGAGCAATCGACTGTGAAGATAAAAGCGATTCGTCTGGATACGATTTTTTTACATATTGACACGCTACACCTTTGTGCACTCAACCTCGTAGAAAAGTAAAGGCAGTCAAACTCGTAACTTAAAAATTGGCAAATAGGAAAATTACAGTAGGAGTCCCTAATCAGTATTCAATGTTGAAAAAACTGCAATCAACCTCGTACAAGATTTGCGCGACTGGTTCGCGCCAAAACGATAGGCTCTGCTCGACTCGCGCCAAAGCCCGAGGTTTGTACAGCTCGCTCAGAACGAAAGGAGATCTGGTTCATTTGCTAACTTACCGTTTGTCTCCAAGATGCCTTCCCGAATCACGCCGCACACCCTCATCGAGAAACAGCAAGTTCTTGAAGCCCATCGTGCCGGTCGAGAAGACTGGCTAGCCGTTGCTCATTTCAACCGCATTCCTGTGACTACTGCCTACGACATAGTACGGCGTGGGCGCGTGGACAATCTCCCTCGGGGAGACGCGAAGCACGTCAAGATGACGCCTGAGGCTAAGGTCCTTCTCGAGGAGTACCTGAATGATAACTGTACCTACACGCTGGACACCATGAGGACAATGTTGTTTCTGGACTGTGGCGTTAAGGTGGACACGTCGACGATTAGCCGGCACCTGAAGGGCATGCTGTTTACCGTAAAACAAGTGAGAGTTGAGCCCACAACGTGTAATAGCGATATCAACATTGAGAAACGACGTGTGTTCGCCGTGAAATTGAAGGAGCATCAAGACGCAGGTAACTGCATCATTTACTATGATGAAACTAACTACAACATCTATTTAAAGCGCTTGCGAGGACGATCTAGGCGAGGAGAGAGGGCCGTGCTCAGCCTTCCACCCTCCAAAGGGGCCAACCTCCAGATCCAATGTGCTGTTTCGTCAAGCATTGGGCTGGTGACGTACCAATTGGAGCATGGCAGCATTCGCATGGAGAAGAATGCTGCCTTCGTCGAAGAGATTTACAAGGCGGCCAAGGCGTCGCAAAAGTTCCGCAGTTTCTATCAAGGAAAAAAGATTGTCATCGTTCTTGATAATGCTCCTGCCCACCGACAGACGGAGGATCGCGTTACCGAGCACGAAGACATGGAGCTGCTACGGCTCGGGCCGTACTCCCCCATGTGCAATCCGATAGAGGGTAGTTTCAGTGTGTTAAAGGCAAACATCAAGAGGAACTTAGCAATCTACCGCGAGGAAATTTGCGATCGCAGCCGTCAGCTGGACGAGAATGGAGACGTGATAACGCTCGCTGGAAGGCAGATGCGCGTTCTGGAGAGGGCTGCTAAGGCGGAAATGAAGTGTATGACATCAGTTCTGGTGTCTCGTATGGAGCTTCACTGTAGCAAAGCTGTCAACGCTGCTGCTGAAGGAATACCTATGGTCTATGGTAAAAAATCAATGAAGTTGATTGCCGTTTTTTCAACATTGAATACTGATTAGGGACTCCTACTGTAATTTTCCTATTTGCCAGTTTTTAAGTTACGAGTTTGACTGCCGTTTTCTACGAGGTTGAGTGCACAAAGGTGTAGTATTGTTTTCTGCACTAATCTAGTGCATCTATGATTTCTCTACAATCGTGTACCCAGCCTTGCTCCATGTACTGCTAATATATGACAAATATGTGGTATTTTTTACGATAAATGTATAAAGTACTGAAAAATTGCCGTGAGTTATATTTTAACGTGAGCCAACAATCACAGGAAAATAAAACGTTATTTCAATTTTTTAAATTATATTTTGAAGCCTTGTAACAACGATTTGGAGTAGACCCCTGTTGCGAATAGCGTTGCAGAAGCTCCTTGGGGCTCATGCTGTGAGTGACTATAACGGAGGAGGTAGACTTCATCGACGTCATGAGCTGCACCGCTTCCAAATTTCAATTCGCAGCTACAAATGACCCGATGTTGCGCTTGAATTTCGGCAACTGGTGCTTGAGTGGTTTCGTATATTCAGGCGGGGGCAATTCTTTATTTTAGATAATTAAATGACAGAGACCCATTGCACTATTACGTGTGAAGGTTCCTGGTCTTACAAAAACAGCTACGGCTATTCCTTGGACTAAGCGTGCTGCACCGCAAGAGCTGAACATCTAATCTAACGATGCCACGTACGAGGGGGTCCTTTCTACGACTTCGTTCGCTTTCAAAGTCTGCACATGTTGCTCCAAACATATTACGGCGCGTGTCCAAGAGGCTTTGTGCTTCTCATCTTTCATTTTGATCTTCCCAGAAACGAAGCGCAATACATATCGTGCTCCGGCGCTACATGAAACTGTCGTCAATCACTGACATAGTAGTAGAAGCGGATTGCTAGTATAGATATCCGTAGCCAAACGTGATAGATGAAGAGCAGCCAAGCATCTCAATAGCAACACTATGCCCTTAGGACTTCGAGCTTCGGAAAACGATTGATAAGAAATTAGCTGGGGCTGCCAAAACTGGTACGGAAAGGAAATGCAACATACAGTACGCTAGCATTCTGAATATCAACGCGAGATACCGAAATAAGTATTTGGTTTGGAGACGGAGAGAGAAAATGAGCTGTAGTCTTTGGGTGCGCAGCGCTCCAAAAATGGATGGTGTGTGTGTTTTCGTTGAAAATTTGTATTGCTTGAGATGCGGTATTGCGAGGATATGCAATACCATACCCTGCATCCAAACGGATTTTACCATATACTACCCGGGCTACTATTCCTTAGTGCCCTCAAAAATTCGATCCGTTTTGAAGAGAGGGTCACTAAATGAGTAAGGGCTTCTAAATATTGCGTATTGGGTTCAGGCCCCTTTTCTTTTAGTTCTGATCCAGTCTAAAACGCAATTTTCTTCCTGAAGAGGCTAGCGTTGCATCTGGTCGTCGTAAGTTTGAAAAGTTATCTTTAAGAGCGATTTTTTAGTAGACCAAATTGATAAAGTTATACCGGGTATCTTTGTGATACAGATTTTTATACTTTTGAGCACAAGTAAATTTTAGCACCGGGCTTTTAAATAATACGGTGATTTTATACGGTAAATTCCGTTAAATTTAGCAAACATTTTTACTACAATCTATACTGTGATTTACCGATGGAGCTAAAATGCCGGCCAATGTATTTTCTTAAACCTCTAGATACAACTTCAAGCAAATTGATTTTGCTGCTGTGCAACCGGGGTTGGGGGGGGGCTGCCCCCCCCCCCACCGCCCCACAATGCCCCTCGGTCCACCTGCATGATTTATCTTTGCATGCGTAATGGCTTCGAACATCCATCTTCGAAGTAGGTCAGATGCCGGTATTCGAAATTCAAATTAGGAATAATTTTTTGTTTAAATATTTGGTCAAAGTACTATATTATTGATTAGTCCTGTATTGCAATGTAGCTTGAAAACGAATATTAAATTAATAAATATTTTTTTATTGTGAAAACACCGATTAGTTTGTCTAATTGAATTACAAATCCGCCGATTTATAGTCTACCCAAGCGTCTTATTAATAGTTTATTTAGTTAGGCTTGCAGCAAATTACTGATGAATGATCTCGCTTGTAGTGCTATTTATGAGATTGAAAACATAGGCCGATTTACTAATAAATCACTTCGCCGCCAGATTTAGAAACAAATCGGTCGGTTTATCCGATCCCTAGACGGCATTCCAAGTCTAGCACAACTAAATTCGACAACAAATTGAACAATGACTCTAGTGTGTGTATCTGTTCAAATAGGAAGCATCACCAAGACCAGTCGAACAAACGTCAGCATCGAGGAGCCAAACTTTACATTTGACGAAGATAACGAGCTGTTCGAAGACCTACAGATTAAAGTTGAAAGGATTGCTAGTCCTGCTCTGCGGCTATACAAAGTCAAAACTACGCGAGACGACACAGCAATGTACTTGAAGCCAAGTCTAGGGGTCAAGCAGGCAGAGTGGGTTGCGCTAACACCTGGAAACTGGAAGCACTATATAGATATTGCAAGAGGTCATCACCAGAAGTGCAGGACAAACAAAGGTCCCTTTGTTGTAAAGCTGTTTGTATTTGCTGCAAAAGAGACAACTACTCAGGCTGCAGGAATACGGAGGGCGACAGGGTCAAGAATCCAAGACGCTGCCCGTGCAATTGATGGCTATCTATTGGAGCGTGGCGACGTCCAAGTCGGACCTATTGCCCGTACTTATTGGGAGACCACCCATACCAGACAGCCTGAAGGTACAGCCCCATCCGTACCGGATAATGTAACTTTTCGCCAGATGCAGCATCTTGACTCAATGCGACCTTTGCCAACGCCTACAAAAACCGAGAGCAACCTGCAAACGATCACTGTACAGCTGAATGGCTCGTCAGATCTACAGCTTTCGTTTAACGTGCGTGAGCTACGAACCATTCTTGTCTTACCGAATCACAACCTACTAGCTGAAGGGGTATTCTCCTCATTCGACGTCCCAGCTGAACCGACCGAAGATATGGTCGACGAAGACCATATTATAGAAGAAGAGTAAAGGGAGCCATAACAGCCATATCAAAGGCAAATACACGGGTATATTGTGTTTTTTTATCTCGCTTCGCTCGAAGTCTCCCACCCCACCAAGCTCCTCCCATCCGCCTCCCCGCGGTCCTACTGAAATAAATCTAGCTCTCGCTTGAAGACAGCCTCGTTTAAACCACCTACATCGTATCCGCAATGTCTGAACAGACCTGTACCTCCACCATCTTCGTCCTTCGTGCATCTTGGCATAGCAACCTCTAATACCCTTTCGGGGTACAGACCAAACGCCAAATTCGCATGTCGAGCTAACCACCTCTTCAACTGCCCGAATAACACTTCGATCGGATTAAATTGGGTGCAGTAAGGCGGTAAAAACAACAGTACAGCTCCACATGAGTGAACAGCGGTTTCGAACTCGGCATACATGTGAATACGGGCGTTGTCCAGCACGACTATTGATCTAGGAAGCGGCCACGGGTTCAAGTGCTTCAATATTGAGCCGATGAGAGCACGTTGAAACTTGAGGCGATTAAAGGTGCCGCGAGTTGTCCTCCAAGCAAAGAAGCCTTGAATTGTAGATACCACCGGCTCACGGTACGCCCTGACACACCGAAAATCCACCCGACTTGGTCACAAGGCACGCTGTACGCGTAATGCAGCACAATTGCTCGCCACCGGAATTCTGCTGCGTACATATCACCGTTTCTCTCCGTTATCTCGACTGCTCTAGAGAGTCCTGGTGCACTCTCTGCCGCAGTCCGATTTGATATCTCTAATACGACTTTGCACTCCGTTTTATTACCGTAGCCAGACCATTTTTGTCAACACCACAATAACGATTTGCATGCAAATAATGCAAGACAAACTTATCGGTTTTCACAATAACCTCTAAGTATTTCATCGTGCAAGTTCCCGACCTCATTTATGCCGTGGTTGACAGCTTGCAACAGCTGGTCCGATAAATTTTCATTAACAATATAAGACACAATTTCATATCCACATCCCTCTCGTCTCCATTTGGTTCGTGATGCACCAGATCGTAGGCTTGTTCCTATGGGGATGCTTGTGAGTCGTAACGTACTTGATCCGTTTCGATAAATGACATGTATCCAGCGGGATATCCTCAGGAGTCAACATGAGGCAATTTCGAGCCACTCCACCCAGATTTTAGAACCTCTCTTTCATTTCGTCATCACTAATAGGGTAGTCCAGCACGGAAGCAGCTAGTTGTAGCTTAAAAGCTTCTATGGCGGTAGGTAGTAGTCGGAGAAATGCTTTCTCGACATCTTTATCCAATGCTTGTTCGGGCTCGTAAACACAATCATTGCTTTCGGTGGTCCATCACATAGCCAAAGTACCTTTTCGTCCGTCTTTTCTCTCCAGCTCGACATATTATTCGGATCCATGCCTGACCAGTGTTGCATCAGCATGCTCGTATTTTGCTGTATTGCCTCAACAAGTCCCAGTCGCTTCTTGTTAGATTCCTGCAGGACGAATAGCTGGACATTTCCGCGATGGGAATAGGATGAAGCGACAATGGTCCAGTCTGGATTACCCCTCCGGAAACTATGAAGGAAATAGGCGTATAAAATCGACGTCCCGATTCCTATCAATACAATATATCGGATCAATTATTCGTCATTGGTGTAGGATGTGCAATGAATATGAGGCACATGGGCTAATGGCTTACCTGGGGTTCCTGTCACAGTTGTGCACGACTTCTTCGTCTGTAGCAGCAGGGCCTCCACTATCACATAATTAGTGTCATGCATGAGTGAATGAAAAAAAAAGAACTTGCCACCGGTGCACAATAGGACGTGTTCGGTGTCGCAGGTCCTAATTCAATATAGAGGATAAATTTATTTGGCGGTTAGTCTGTTATTTTTCCCTACAGCTACCGTTATCCGTTATGCAACGCTCACCCAGATCTAAAACCACTGCACATTTTTAACAAGGGTCTGCTGATCTGGAGTGACTATTCACTGGGGTATGAGAAAGATGCTAAAGCTGTCGAACCAAGTTCTAGATATTTTCATAAAGAAGATCATAAAGCTGAATCCAAAGAAATGATCGCTCTATCTCAAGAAGGCATTGTGGTGTGGACGCGTGATCTCTGGTGAAGGTGTGCGCCATGATCCTTAGCGGATCGAGGCTCTAGTGAATCTTCTACCCCCCACGACTGGTCAAGCGCCCCAGGAGTTCATTTGCTCTCTAAACTGGATGCGAAGTTCTATGTCCGCTTTCAACAAGCTCATGTTCCTGAAATCACAATTATTATGCGTAACAGATGCGAAAGAAAACATACATGGTTCGAATCACTTTTCTGGCTCAAAATTGGATTCAACGCAATATCCGAATGAAGTATTTTCCTCCAAAGTGTGATAGTACCAAAATGCATTGCCACAGGATGCTGGTTTTCAGAGTTTACCGTACAGTGATTTTGAAGGTCTGGACTTCTGACCAGTACATATATTTATATGAGCGAGAACCATGTAGTATGATAGTACTGCCGCATTTATCGTGGGCATGCGGAAAAACTAGTGAAATACAAGATACTGTAAGTAGTTAGGGGTGAAGCATTAGCATATAACTACCGGTTGGACCGTGTATCAATGCAATTTTATTGGTGACCCGCGGCCTTGTTATACTTTAATGTTCTCCCCAACAAGCCTTGCCGGTCTTTTGGGGCACCGACGGCGTGCCAAACGATATGCAAAAACTCTATCTGCTCAGCGCCGAATGCAGAATCGCCTCAGCCGAAGAGCACTTCTTCCGCTGCACAAGCCCGCTTTTCAGTGGCGCTATGGGTCGGGGTGCAATCAGTCGCTAATCACATTAACAGGATTTCACCCTACTGGTTTTCACTATCTGATAGTCCGCTTTGAGCCTCTCTACTACATACCCTCGCCATACTCTGTTGATGGATCGATTACCAAGCTAAATCAAGGTGCAACGGGTCGTGTCCGGCCGCTTTCATTGACGGTGGCTCAGTGTTTGGCTCTAGTGCTTGCGTGTGTGTGTGTGGGGGTGGGGGGGGTGGGGGGGGGCTGGTCCGTCGGGCCGACGTCGTTTCTTAGTCTCTGTTTAGGTGTGACGACGTCAGTGATGTCTCTCGTTTTACGCTTCGGAAGATGTATTCTAGTGCTGCTATTGAAAAGGGAAACCAAGACTCACGTTAAGCTTCCTGATCTAGATGACGTGAGCACACTCTACAAGACGTTAAAGCGTAAAGTATCCACTTCTGAGCGCCGTTAACGCTGTTATGGATACACTAAAGCCTGAGATTCATAATATGTTCTACAACGGCTGAACGCACGATCACTATGTTAGCGGCGTGTTCGTGCTTTCACCCGCCAGACTAGTGATTGCGTGCGCGCTAAATGCACATGGGTGTATGTATGATTCCCAAATAGCAGAGCAGGGAAATGTGTACGCGAAGATTCAGCGGCTCTACCCGTCTACAGGCGGGCAGGTGGTTGTTGATTCGACATTTTCTCAGTGTGCCTATGACTTCTTGCTGAAGCGTTGAGAAGACGTCGTTTTGCCTATGGCAGTTAGAAGACAGGTAATTTCTCTACGGCAAACAACTGGATTGGTAATGCGTGCTCTGCAGGCTGCCTTGTCACGGTACAGGACCGACTGTAATACGAGGAGAGAGGAGAATGGAAGTGAATCTTGTACTCAGTTGGGATCGTCGCACGCGCATCGTTGGGATCAATCAGTTCTATTTACGTTTTACGTTAGTAGTACCGATAGAACGGCTAATACACTGTTTTTGAAACTTGCCGAATGAGCTGCTTCAAAAAATTGACCTGCAACTTACTCGTGGGGTTTCATCACCGAAACTACCATTGTAACCATCATGTGCTTAAACAGCTCATTGTGACGGTCAGCTTCCTCACGTCGCGCGCGCTCTACTTGGTGATCTTGTTCTCTATCTCCGCGTCGTGCACACTCTTCCGTTCGGCTATGCAACAGCTGCATCCGCTTGAGCTCCATTTCTCCTCATTCTACAGTGGGTAGAATGCAAATGAAACTGTAGGTCGTGGCACGTTGATTCTTGGCCAGATCTCAATATTATCAAGGAAACGTAATCCGGCTCCACGTCCCTCAATCGCCAAACGCTCTCGAGGGACCCGAGGGGTTGTTGACGCTGCTGGCGAAGCTTAAGTGCTCATGAGCAGGAGAGCACCGGTTGTCGAGTAATGACTAGATATAAAAAAGTCAATAG